AGTGAGTAGCAAATGATGGGGGAGTGGCCATGAATCTCTTTAAGGGGGAAGGCAGGAAACTAAAAGCTGGGATAGTTTCTATGCCTGCATATTCTTGGTAGAATTGCTGTTCTCAGTTTGGCATTTGGTGACCTTGTCTTCAGGGAGCTGGGAGTTAGGAATTAATATTATGTTTCTTGTCACATACATGTGTGCTTACCTCCAAGGTATTCCAGAATCACAAGAGAGTTTGTGTCTGTGTTATAATAGTATTTTTCTACATATATTTTAGAGCAAATTAGGAGCTTTTAAGCACATGAAGACCCTCTTCCTCAGAGCTGACTCTCCAAACAAGCAAAAAGAAAGTCAGCACTAAGCCTGTTACATGCTTGTGTATTCTCCAGGGCTCAGGCCCTTTCCATGCTGACTGAGCCAGGCTCAGCAGCACGGATCTTGGTTCACAAGATCAGTTCACAATCTGGAGAGGGGAGACAGACTTGCAGCCAACTTGTGGGGCTCCAGTAGGTTGGGACCAAGTATTGGGGGGAGAACAGGTCAAGCAACGGGAGCACTTGGGGAAGGTTCATGTATTAGTCTGCCTTTTGTTACTATAACAAAATGCCTGAGGCAAGCTGACTTCATAAAGAAAAGTGGTTTATTTAGCTCACAGTTCTGGAGGTTCAAGGACATGGCACCAGCATTGGTTTAGTTCTGGTGTTGGCCTTCTTATTGATAGACCCAAGGTGGCACATGACATTACATGACAAGGCTCATGGAAAGCACATGTCTACGTGTCTTGTCCCTTCCTCTTTATGTAAAGCTACCAGTGTTCAATCATGGACGCTCCCCTCAATGACCTTATTTAACCCTAATCACTTCTCAACAGCCCAACATGTAAACACTATAGTCAGATTAAGTTTCCACCCTCTTAATGCCATTGACATATGACTTTGGGGGTTAGACTCCTGCATGAATTGGGGGAGATACCATATTCAATCTAGAGCAATTGCAGAGGGGGCCTCATTGCAGAGGAGGCTCACTAGAAGCCTTGGACATTTAGTTGGGTAAACCTGGGAAAAGGGATAAGAAGTAAGAATTCAGCCAGAGGGAAAGAAACTCTGTGTGTGTGTGTGTGTGTGTGTGTGTGTGTGTGTGTGTGATATGCATGTGTGTGTGCTATATGCATGTGTGTGATATGCATGTGTGTGTGCTACATGTGTGTGTGGTATATGCATGTGTGTGTGTGATATGCATGTGTGTGTGGTATATGCATATACCATAACCATTGTAAGTGGGCAGTTCAGCAGCATTAAGAACACCCTCATGGTCATACACCACCACCACCTCTATCCATCTCCACAATTTTTTCTTCTTCCCAAACTAAAATTCTGTACCCATTAAACAATAACAGCCCCCCTTCCAGGCTCCTGTATGCCCTGGTTAGCACCATTCTACTTTTGGTCTCTGTGAGTTCGATGACTAAGTAGATCACATAAGTAGAATCCAGTAGTTTTTGTGTTCTCGTCTGGCTGTTTTCACTGATAGCACCTTCAAACTTCACCCATACTGTAACACATGTCAAACCTCCTTTTTAGGCTGACTAATATTCTTTCCTACATAGATAGAAGTTTTGTTTATTCTTTCAACCTCGGTTCACACTTGGGTTGCTTCCAATTCTGTTGTGAGTGATGATACTATGGTCTACAACCATACCACTCTGAATGCACCCGATCCTGTCTGAATAAAGCTGCGATGGACCTGGGGTACAAATACCAGTGAGCCTCTTCTGTCAGCAGGTTCATTTTTAAAGCTGTTTGGAACTACTTGTGGGGGTTCTTTAGAGTTCCTGTCTGTGAGGAGGCAAGGCCTTGGTTCTACCCCTCATTGCCACAAACCAGCGGAGACCCTGGAACAATTTACAGACTGTCTTTGGGTCACGTCTCCCTACCTGTGGGCTAAAGGAGTCCCTTCTATGTCTAAGGTTCTGCCCTAGGTGATTATGCATGAACATTCTGTACCCACACTTGGAGCTTTCAGTCACTTAGGTTCTGATTCCTCTTCAGTGGAACTGAGAGTAGAGTGGACCCTTGGCACAGTCAGATTCACTGTTGGCACTCTCAGTGTTCTTGTGCAGCCCTGAAGGCCCATAGTGTACAGAAATCTATCACATTGCTGAGACATGAACTTGAACCTCACATTTGGTGAGGTCAGTGTGTGGGAGTGATTCACTTGGTGGATGAGCCAGGTGGGCCAACTGCTCATCATTCACCTTTCTGAGAGGTGCTGCTTTTTCTTTCTTCTTAAGTGGCTTTTGTGAAGTGGTAGTACTTGGGTGACTGTGTGCATGCATGTGTGTGTGTGTGTGTGTGAATGCCTCCACAAAGAAAACTGCTGTGGCCAGTGATAGAAGGAAAAGAAAATGGAGAAGCCTAAGAAACTGATGGTTCTTATACAATAGATGAAAAAATGGCCCGCCCAACTCCACAATAGCTCTGCCAGGCAAACAACTTCACTATATACTTTGACAGAAACAAGACACACATGTTTGTAACATTTCAGAAAGTGCCATAGGCAGCAGCAAACTTGCTCTTTGAGAGAGCAAATTTTGAAACGTTTGCAAAAGCGGCTCAGGAGAAAGCCAGGAGGCTACACAAACATTTCCAGGAAGGAGCAGATGGTGAAGGCACCAGAGTGGCTGCTAGACCAACCTTATTTTCAAGTAAGGGCTGGTTTGAAAATTTTAAGCCATGTTTTTCTTGGCAAAAGGTACAGTTAATAGGAATAAGCAGGCCAGCTGCCTGTGTCATGGCAGATGGGATTCCTAAGTTAAAGAGGCTCATGGAGGTACAAAGGCATAAGCCCAGACTGGGAATGTTGCAGGGCAAGCGAGGTGTCCCTCTTTCTAGGATGGACAAAGTCACCTGAAGGAGCATCAGAGAATAAGGAGAGAAGGCCTCCCAGAACTGACAAAGGGGTCAAAGGAGATGAAGACAATGGTGAAGAAATAGAAAAGGCAAGGGAAGTTGGGTCCTTCATAAATGTAGCAAAATGTTCCATTATGCCAAGCTGCCAACACAGCTAACATCAATCAGTAGGCTGCAGACTTACCCATCAATTCCAGGAAATGCGTTTCCATTGGCACTGGCCCAGGAAACAGCTAGGTTGTAAGGGGAAGGAGGGATTAACGAGATAGTTAACTTTGGTCATGACTAAGGAAGGAAAAATGAAGAGAAAGTGACAATAAAATAAGAACAGAAAGGAACATAGTAAAATCAGGCACATGCAATTTAAAATAATATATCTGCAAACAGGTAAATGTTAGTAAAAGGAAAACTTAGATGAAATAATTTTGGGAAACTTAAGGAGAAAAAGAAGACCTGAAGTTCTGGACCCAGGGTCCTTCGAGTCAGGGTCAAGCTTCACCAGCTTTGTACTTTATGGGAAATGAGGATGGAAACTGCTGAACTCACTCACATGGCTAGCATCACCTTGTTTCCAAAACCAGCCAGCGTCATTGCAAAGTAATACAGTTTGGGGCCTGCTTCATTTATGACCACAGATGCAGAACTCCCAAGTCAAACATTAGAAGAATGAGGACGAGAAGGAGAAAGAAAAGAGGGGAGGGGAGGAGAGGGGGAGGGTGACAGCTGCCATTCTTCATGCCCTTTAAAAAAACCCACCACTCAATGATTTGAGAAGTCTCTTTCCCCTTCTTCCCTGTATTCTCCTTCACAGTTGTCTCTCTGGCTTATTCACTGCTTTACTGTCCCTGAAGACAATACTCAGGTCTTTTTTTATAGTCAAGGGTTTTACTGCAGATCAATAAAGTGAAGCAAACAAAGTTTGCAAAACAAACAACAACAACAAAAACAAAACTCAAAAGAAAACCCACCACTCAATGATTTGAGAAGTCTCTTTCCCCTTCTTCTCTTTTGTTCTCCTTCACAGTTGTCTCTCTGGCCTATTTTCTGCTTTATTGTCCTGAAGGTTCTTGGGTAATAGTTCTAGACTTCTTTCACAGATGATGAGTGAGGATTGGGGGCTCATCAAACCCCTTCCTACCTCTAATCATCTGCTTACTGCCTTGTTCTCAGCTGGGAGACCTGAATAGGCCTCCAGGACAGCACATGAAGCCCCCTTGATGGGGAGGATAGCTGATGTTGCTGAAGGCCTCCAGTTAATATGACCCTTGTTCCAAAGGCCTGCGTCCCACCTCTCACAACCAGAAAGCAGGTCCCTGGAGTTACCTTCCTCACAGAAGCTATTTTCACATGCAGAATGCAGTGTTCTGGAAACATGAAGCATCCTGTCTTACACAGATGTTCCAAGTGGGGACAGAGTTGAGCCGTTGGTTCACATACCCTGTTCATGTCAGGGTATGTGAGTGTTGGGGGCACTTCTAGAATCTGTGTCCTATGACTGCCATTCTTAACAGACTTTTCTGGAATTTCTGGCTCTGAGAGACATGGGGTTAATCTCTTCTCTTTTCTTTGGCTTTAGATATTTACAAATCATTAATGACTTAAATGCTCTCTTCCCCAGGAAGCACCTGGATTCTTAGAACATATGTCATAGGCCTGAAAAATGGGGGCATGAGGAGAGGTGGGATAGACAAATGCTATAGATGAGGTGGGTTGACAGATAAGTATATCTACGAACAGGTTAGTGAACCCCTAACCTTGGAGAATTCTGCACCATGAGATAAGATAGAAATGAATATTGTTAATATACTCCTTCCTTGTGAGAGAGGATGGAGACATTGGCTTCCAAACTCTTCAGATGCTTCTTTAAAGATTGCCATCTCTAAAACAGATGAGGACTGTCCTTTCCATACCAGATTCTTTGCTCAGAGGCCATACTACATAAAGGGGACTAGGAAGTGTGAAGGAAAAGACATAGAGTGGGAAGAGATGACTAATGAAGAAGCCTGAAATTGTGCAATCTAAGCTTATGAGAAATAACTCCAGAAGGTACCAAAGTCCTGCTGCTCTGATGGTCCTTTCTTGAAATTATTTCTGCAGGTTATCACAGCTGGGTTGTCAGTACTGCTGTTTGATGTTACCCTGACCAGTGCAACTGTGGGATGGTGAGTTCCATGCAGAGAGGAAATGCAAGCATATTCACTCTTTGGGTTTCATCAGGATATTAATTTGTGTTCAAATGTTGAAGAAAAGGTGTGTATTTGGTGTGTGTGAGTCCATCTTAATTTAAGTCCCATATTAGTGAAGATGGCTTTATTTTTTAAAACAAGTCTTATTGATGCATAACTTTATAGTCAGAAGAATGCATATGTTACTCATACAACTCAATTTAAAACCTAATAAACTTTCAGCAACTGAACATTCTGTACTTACTTTACCACTTTACCAGCACCCAGTTCAGAACATCACCAGGACACCTTTTACCCACTCACCCACACAAGACTAGCCACTGTGTGAACCACCATTCAACCCTTGGTGTCCAGGGGGTACTGGTTGTTCCAAGATCCCTTATAGATACCAAAATCCACAGATACTCAAGTCTCTTACATAAAGTGGTACAGTGTTTGCCTATAACCTATGCACATTCTCCTGTATCCTTTAAATCATCCCTAGATTACTTAGCTTAGCTTTGCTCAAGTACAATCTAATTCTAGAACACCCCTTCTTTTTGCATTTGTTTGCAAATTGGACCTGTTGAATTGTCACCTGTTTGATTCAGGACCACAGTGACAGTAAATGGGACAGGCGCTGGGCCTGGGTGTTCCCATGGCAGCTTCCTATCTCCAGGACTCCATGTGTATAGTGCCCTTGGGTACTGTCATAGCCATGGAAACAACAGTGTTATTTTTAAACATCAGTAGGAGATTCCTGTGGGATAAATGTCAGGGGCAGGACCAGTGACCCTATGGCATATCATGGTGGGGTGGCCAAGTGGTGAACTTGCATCTTGTGTGGCCTTGGACTATAATGGGCTCATTCAATAACCAGATATTTACCACATGCCTGAAATGTGCCAGGAGCTGTTCTTGGATGAAAGTCAACAAATCCTGCTTCTGTGGTGTCTCTGGATAATCATTTCCCTGCTTGAGGGCAAGCCCACATCTCAATTATCCCAGACTGATTCAAATGAATATTTTTGCTCACAGCACTTAGAAAAAGGGATTCTCAACCTCTCTCAGATGCCACTAATGGGGGCATTTCCTGCCCAAAGAAGAAAAAATGAAAGGAAAAGAAAAATTAGGAAATATCCCTGTACTCTCCTCTTCTTCCTCCTTCTGTTTATTATTTAAGATAATAAAAACTAACCATTTATTGAGCTACTCCTCTGCCTCTAACATTTTTACATTAATACTCTCTCACTTTTACAACAACCCTCCAAGTTACCCACATTTTAAAGGAAAAGAAGCTGAGGTTCAGAAGCATGTGATTTCCCCAGTGGTTTTTATAGGTATGAGGTGATTGGACAAGGATTCAAATTCAGGCCTTTGTGTGTCCAAAGCCCCATAATCTACCAGAACTGCTTTGAGAAACATCAATGACATTTGTCGCCCTTAATGCAGAGAAGCTAAAGCAGATACCTTAAAGCAACTGAGGCCAATAGGAAAAGGGGACCAGGAACTAGAGAAAAGGTTAGATCAAAAAGAATTAACCTAGAAGGTAACACCCACGCACAGGAAATCAATGTGAGTCAATGCCCTGTATAGCTATCCTTATCTCAACCAGCAAAACCCCTTGTTCCTTCCTATTATTGCTTATACTCTCTCTACAACAAAATTAGAGATAAGGGCAAAATAGTTTCTGCTGGGTATTGAGGGGGGGAGCGGGAGGGGGTGGAGTGGGTGGTAAGGGAGGGGGTGGGGGCAGGGGGGAGAAATGAACCAAGCCTTGTATGCACATATGAATAATAAAAGAAAAATGAAAAAAAAAAAAGAGAAACATCAATGACATGCTATCAGTATAGATGGTGTACAATGTAGACGCTCATAACGGACTAGGGAAATTGGCTTGAATGTTTCTTTCCCCAGCAGAGTGACGGTGCTGCCCAGCTTTGTATCACTATAGCAAATATTGGAGATCATCAGTTTATAAGGAGGAAAGGTTTATTTTGGCTCTGGGTCGGAGGTTTCAGTTTATGTTCACTTTGCTTCACTGCCTTCAAGCCTATAGTAAGGCTCCCCACCACATGGCAAGGAGCATGTGGTGAAGCAAGAAGCTCGCCTTATGGCTACTGGGGAGCATGAAAAGGGAGAAGGGACCAGGGCTCCATAATCCCCTTCAACGGTACACCCCCAATTACCTAACTTCTTCCCACTAGGCCCCACTATCTCTCAGTTGTGCTATGGACTATTGTCCAAGTCTTTAAACATGGACCTTTGGGGGCCACTTAGCCTAACTATAGCAGTGATAATCTGTAAGGAGCATCTAGATGATCTGATAGGAAACAGAGGACGAGTTTTCGAGGATAAGACATTTTCAATTCTTGTTCAGGGGTGAACCCAGGAAATAAAGAATGTCCAGTGGAGCATTTTTAGGATAAAATCTCATCATAGATTTTTAATACTATAACTATGATTCTGTCAGTCTGTTAAAAAATGTTTTTGAGTGATTGGTACATGCAACACATGTAGAAACCATGAAAGAAGCAGAAGACATCATCCAACTTTCAAGGGCTATTCAAGGGAAAAGAAAATCAGCAAGGTAATTTATGGGATGGATAGGATAGTAGATGTTTGCATGCCCAATGATGCACAGACTGAAGGTGGGAGAAGAGGGTAGGAATTCTTGGAAGGTGGGCCTTGGAGCTGGCTTGACACAGGACCTTTTGCAGAAGGGAGGGGCTTAGCTAGTCTGGGGATGGAAGACAACTTAGCCTCTTTCACCCAGAGAAGTAAGGACAAGAGGGAGGCCATGAGGTGCCAGTGATGAGACCCAATTTGTGGGCCAGGCAGATAATCTCACACTCCTTCCTCTGTTGTGGGAAGGAATGACAGAAATGATGAGAAGGTGGACATCTCAACTGGCAAGAAACATTTACCTTCTGGCACATTTTTGAGACTCTTCCCCAAATTTTTATGTCCTTAGCTTTCATATTATAGTCTAAATTCTTGACAGTATTTCATCAACTGTATTTCATATAAGATTTTGAAAGTAACCAAAGAAACCCACGTGTTGAACTGAGCATGAGAAGTAAGAGTGAGACAGCTCTCCAGGGGTGAGCAAAATTTATGTCAGTATACTAATAGTTTGTAAAAGGCTGTGTCTCTAGGCTGTTTCACATCCTGTGGACTTGAGGTATGCCCCAAACAAAATGGAAAGGAAGGCTGTGTGTACCCAAATCAAGGAAGTAGCATGTGTGATTATTATAAAAGGAACCTTGACTTTGGAATTTCCTGATTTTTTTAGAACTCTTGAGGTTAAGGATGGTATGTTTTCAGCCTAAAAGAATTTTCCAACCACAAAGTGAACCACCAGAAAGGGAGTGTTAGACTGTAATTCTGTCTTGCCTAGAGCTGGTTGCTTAGTCTTTACACTGGGCATGTTTAAGTATGGCTAGGTCCTGGACAGGGGTGGCTGGTCTTTTGTCTCATGGGAGTTTATACTCATCAGAAGTCACAAAGGGCAGGAGCCACAACCTTTTTTTTTTTTTTAAAGACCTACTGTGTTTTCCTGTACAGTTATTATTTCTTTTGTTTTGCTTTTCAAATTTTAAATTAGTCATCAACATGTAAAATCCAGTGATTTCCTTCTACAAGGCCACATATCCAGATTCCTTTGGAAATGTGGAATAGCTGTTGGTTAATGACAATAGCTGCTGGGGTGAACAGAAGCTGCTCTCTCAGGTGTGCAAGTGTTCTCTGATTCCGCACGGCTTCTGCCACTCCTGGGCCAGCTCCAACCAGAGGACCTACTCTTGCTGATGGCCTCATATCCATTTAATTAGACATATATTCATTCCACACAAGGGCTGGGCTGGCCTCTGAGGCCACCAAGGTAAAACACAGGGTCTGAGCCCTGTGAGGTTCACACGCACAAGTCATTACCCACCTTCTTAGGTGAGGAACAGCTTAGCCTCACAAAACAGGCCATCTAAGGTAGGGCTTGTCACTCTCGACATCATTGGTGTTTGGGGTCAGATACTTCTTCGTTATGGGAGTGCTATCTTGTGCTTTGTAGGAAGTCTAACAGCAGGCCTGAGCCCCAACCCACTAGATGCTAGTAGTACCCCCTCACTTGTCATAGAAAATGTTGCTGAGATATTACAAAATGTTCCCTGGGGGGTGGGTGCAAAATCATCCCTTTTGGGAATCAGGGATCTAGAGGTTCATGGAGGTGAATAGAGAAAATGCTATTTGAAATCTCAATGAGATCCTAAGGAATTTGCTTATCTCCTTGATTAGAGATTTGGATCATCTCAGGGATCAAGTCCTCAGTAGCTCCTCCTACCCACACTAGGTCTGGCTCTAAAAGTACTGGTGGCACTGAGTGACCACAAGATGTATGGGCTGAGCTGTTCTAGCAGAGTGGCCAGGCTCACTTGCCTTTACCTCTCCCATCCAGCACCAAGCACTTGTATGCAGAATAGTTTTCCACCTAAGCACCCAGAGCTCAGTTTTCAAATTAACTTTGAATTAAAAGCATTTGAAATTAAATTTTTAATTAACAGCAACTGCTCTCATCCAACCAGCTCTCTTGGTTTTTCATTATAAAAACAATCTATTTCAGGCTCAGTAATTTAAATATCCAGCTTTATATTTAATTATTCATTTTTTAATTTACAGAGTTTTGTGGTATACACTGGCATTAATTCCCTCTATTTTAAAATTTCAGCAAAGGAGGATCAATAACACATAAAAGAGAAAGGTTTTGATCTGTGAGAAGTATCCCTGTTAAGTAAATTAGTTGTGCCTTCTCTCTGAATCCTCTTTTATAGACTAGGACAGTCACTCTTCTCTTTGAAATGGTTCAAGTACAAGGCCAGAAAGGAATAACCAAATGCAATGTGTTCGTTCTAAGGATTCCATGGTCAATTTTTCTCCTTTGCCTATCTTCGTTAAGCCTACCATTGACCTCAGGTTACCCACCATAAGGCTCACTCAAACCTGATTCTAGCACAAACCTCACCAACACTAAGGGTCTTTAGAAATGATCTTAAATCATTGAGTAAATATGTCAGCCTTTTGATTTTATGGGCCTCATCTATACATAGGAAGAATGAATTTAGGAACAAAGAAAGGACTAAATACCTTTGGGATTACAGTATCTGAAATTTATCAATTTTCCATTTGAATTAAAAATTTGAAGCCTTCTTTAAAAATACTAAGATGGCCTTTTTAATAACTGTTACTTATTACCTCTCACATTTTATCATAATTAATCAGTTTGGGAACTTCCCTCAGTAAGGGAATAGGACATTGGTCAGATATATTTTGGTGAGGAAGAAAAGGAAAAAAAATAAAGTAGTTTTGAATATAGGTGGGAGATGGGGAATGTGTCTAACAATTCATTCATTCTTGAATAAATATTTATTGGGTACCACAGTAGGTACTGGCTCTGCAGCCAGGAAAAGGATACAGTCTCCATCCCGTCTGTTGGGTTTAATAGGAATTAATCAAGAAACCACAATAATAGATGTAAAACTGAGATGAAGCCATTAGTTCCCGTAGGATGATGGAGAGAGGAGGGCTGGAAAGGCATGGACTAGCCCCTTGAAAGAGAAGGTAGTGCTAGGTATTTGTGGCTGAGTGTGCTCTGCAAGCTGATGTTTATGCTTTAGCTACATGAAGTGTGTTCACTTCAGGAATGACGGGATCATAAGATTTGCAAACAGTTCAGCCAAGCTCTAACTTAAATAGTTGTAATGCTATAAAGATTCCTGGACCCCATGTCAGCTTCTCCTGCTGTTTAGAAAACAACATCGAAGCTCACCTCCTGGCTTTATTTACAGTAAATGAAGCAAGGTTTGTTTTCATTTTAGCATTCACTAAGCTCCTTGGGTGTTTAATAAAGTAACCCCGCCAAAGGGATAACTATGAGGTTATTACCCTCCACCATTGTTTTGAGGTTAAGGGAGAACAACTGGTCGAGAGCCAGTGCTGCCCTGGTTCTTTCCCTGGTGATTAAGGAGGATTAGATGGAAGTGGATAAAATTGCTGAGCCCCTGTTATATCTGCAAAATAAAAGCCTCCCAAACAAGAAGCCTTTGCAGCCCTGGTGTCAGGTTGCAGCAACCCTGAACTTACTTGACCAGGAACTTGACATGGCATATGCCTTCGTTAAGGAGTATGGGAAGAGGGAGCAGATCTGATTCAAAGGAAAGGATAGCCTGTGTGGGTAAAAACTGGCTTCTCCTTTATATCATCTCTTCTCTACAGAGAAGAGGCAACAGAGCCATTAGCTTCTGGGGTTCTAGACTAGACAAGGGACAAGTAGGCTCCCAACTTCACACATGGGTTGTGTTTCAAAATACAGTATTTTGGAACTTGGATCATAGTGCCTCACCAAAGCAATCATAAACATTGACTATAGATTAGGTTAGTCTTCATAAATGTATTTGGTTCATAACATAAGCACAGTTCCAGCCACATATTTGGAGTTAATAGAACTGATCGACTTCTTCTAATCATTTATAATATGGTTTCTGTAGTAAAGAGGAAAGTACATGTCCTCTTGGAGCTTAAGCTACTCAATGTTCATTTCCCTTGCCCTCTGTCCTCTCCATCTCTATTGTTAGTCCGTTGGGGAGCACCCTATCCTCCTCCCTCAGTGGTCAGCTCCTTGACCAGCAATTCTTCTGTCCTCCCCCAGAGAGAGGCAGTCATGGTAATTGGGGGGATTTTCCCAGTCTCCAGGTGATGAAGAAGTAGGTTTGTTCTCTCATACTCCAGAAAGCAGAACTGGGACTTGCTGTAAGATGCAGCTGCTGGGCAGCGTGAGGCGGAGCCACATCTCAGCCAGCCCAGTGCCTCTTATAAGAAAGATGCAGAGGTTGGGTAGCCAGCCTGCTGTGACGGCCACTGAGGTGGGATCGCTGCTCTGGGAGTACAGTTAGTTAGAAAATAGCCATATTTTATCATTGTTCATCAAGGGCCAAGCACAGGGGTGCATCCATCTTCCAGTATATTCTAAGCCTAATAGACACTGTTAGATGTGGTCCACTCCTATTGGTCCAGATGGGGAAACCAAGGCTGATAACATGCACAAGATTATATAGTTCACAAATGCCTGAGCCAAACCTTGGACTCATGTCTGCTTGATTCTAAGTTTATTATTTTTATATTTTCACACATAGTCAATTCATTCTTATGCCAGAAGTAGAAAATGGTACAATGTGTCAGAGTGTGACATTTTTCACTGAGAATGTAATGTGAACAGCCTTGCATGCTTCATATATTCACTACCCCAAACATATGTTAGAAATGCAAAAGCTCCATGGTCTGAATATTCTATGCTGTGTATGAGCTCATAAGAAAATGGGGCATTGAGTGGGTGGATGGAAATGAAGGGAAAAGAGGGGTCTGATTGAAAGGGGGGTCAGCCCCTTTTAAAAGAGCCTTTCACCATCAAGGACCCACCATCATCATCCCAGACCCCAGCAAAATGATGGCATTCAGACACCAGAATGTCTACTGAGAAGTTTAAAATAGAAAATGGAGAGACCTTTAGATATATTAAATTTTAGGCATGTTAAAATATTCAACTCTTTTCTCACTGTCTCCAGTTCTCTCACCACTGCTTCATTTTCAAATCTGACCATATTTCTTTCTGTACTGGTGGAAAATTCCTGATTCCCATTTGTGTGTTCACCTTTAAATGTTAATCTAAGCGAAAGGAAAAGTTTGTAGATTACCTTATAAGATTATAAGATTAATTATATCTAATTAATATCTATAACTATAAGATTATAGATACCTGCATAACTTCATGTGCATTGGCCCTCATTAGCAAAAAGCACCCAATGGATCTGTGAGAAGCCCACCTCCCATGTGGTCAGAAGAAGTGGGACACACCACCTTCTTACCCAGGGAAAGTTTTGAAGCTGGTCTCCCAGCCCATCACTTCCCACCCTGTGACGGATTCTCCCCAAATGACAGGACGGTAACTGGGCTTCACCTGTAAGCATGGCAGACTGGGCTGGTAATCAGAGTGACAGTCATTGAATGAGAGAAGCATCCCTGTCCTCTAGGATGTGGGTGCTGGGCAGCTTGGGTGGTCCTTGGGAGAGGAAAGGTGACCTTGTGCTGTTGTTGCAGCCTCCTGCTTGGCGGTATTGGAGAGGCCTTGCTGGTTTTCTCAGAGCAGAAGGGCTCCTGATGAAGATGGGCAAGGAAAGGAGATGCACAGGTTGCCAGCTGGAGAACAGAGCACAGTGCCCCGGCCTTGGACTCCCTGTGGAGAGTGTCAGAAGAACACAAAGACAGTGAGACCAAGTTAGGGTCTCCAGATGGGCAGAGCCCATGACCTGCTTGTGCCCTGATCATTTGTGCTGAATGAGGTGGGAGCTGATGGTGCATTCATTGCTTCAAGGAGAAATTTTTAGGGCCTCTGGATGCTGCAGAGGAATGGTCCCTGTCACAGCTTCCCATTTTGAGAACCTCTAGGCTATGCTATACTGGAAGTACAGGATTTCACTCTGCTCACCTTGATTGGTCTGCAGGCCTCTGTGTATTCAGTGGTCTCCTTCAAACTGCTTTCACCTTGAGGTTGTGGATCCACGGGGTTTTGTTGTATGTGTTTTGCTGTTTTGTGTTTTTAAAATTCTGGAGTCTCCTCTGGGCCCACCTTGCTCTCCTACTGGCCTGCCTGGAGCCAGTGACCCACCTGTGTAGCAGTGCAGAGCTGTGCTACTAAGAACAGACATGGGCATTGAATGGGTGTAAAAGGCCAGCAAGAACACTTAAAACTCTGAGGTGAGTGGTGGCCTTCTGTAATTGATGTTGCTGTTTATTTCCTGCTTCTAAACTTGTCTTGGATCTTGTCAACTTGTCAGGATGTGTTACTCTGCAGATTCTTTTTTGCACACCATTAGGTTAATCATTAGATAATTAAATGGTTACCAAAGGGTTTATAAATACTGATGGATGACCTCCCTGGGCAGGTCAAACAAACAAACAATAAATAATATACATATATACACACAAGCATTTAATATTTCCTAATTTTTTTAATCCACTTTATTTCCCTCATATTTCAGAAGAAGTTTCAAGTCACTGAATACTGAATTATATTCTTCAGGCCAGATTAAAAATTTGGTTAAAACCCTGTAGCTTGTCTCTAGAGAAGAAATGAGTTTATATGAAATGGTCACTTGATTCTGAGCATACCAAGGAGGTTTAAGAAAATAATACTCACTTGAAATATTTCTGCTCATGGTAACTTTCCCAAATACTGTACTGTATTTCCAGGTGTCAGTTTTGGTCTTTGCACTGGGGAATGGTCTCAGTTGCTAGGCAAGCGCTCTGTCACTTGAGCCACACACTCAGTCCCTTTGATTTTAGTTTGTTTTTCAGATAGGGTATCATGGTAACTTTGTCCCTGCTGGTTTTAAATTTTTATCATTCTATATCTGCCTCCTGCATAGCTGGAATTAAAAGTATGCATTGCTAGGCCTGGCAGTTTGGGCCATTTTAAAGTGACTCATGGGTCTTCACCAGCAGGAAGGCTGGTATTGGATACCCAGGTCATTGACAGAGATCCCTCTCAGCATCTGGGAGTTGCCTTGTATACATTCAGCCCCATGAAGAATGAACTCAGCTATGTTAGTAGCCCTTATTGCTGAATGTATTTTTCAACTTGTTGGAAAATGAAAAAGAAAATGAAACAAATAGGGATGGATTTGTGTATTTGTAACTTGAATACCTTAAATTCATTTCCTTGTCTTTTCCTGGTCACTGCCTATCATTTCAGGTAAAAATATTCAGAGTGACCTTTACCCATGGAGTTTGCAGCTTGCTTTTTTGGTCTTTCTTCTTCTGGGCTAGCAAACTTTCTTTAGCCTGAAAATCAAATAGGAAATCTGGGCTTAGAATTTTCCTTGTTCTTTTGCTCCCACAGAACTCTTTCTTTACCATTGAGACCAGTTCTATTCCACTCACAGAAAGTGGCATCTGTCCAAATGTTATCTTTTGCCTGATTTTTAAGTGCCGTTTAAGCAAACAGAAAGCCCTCAGGCTGGAAAGACCCACCCAGTCAACAGGCCCATTCCCATTTCCAGGAGGACTGATCTCAGGAACTTTTCCTAAGTTTAGACTCTTTTGTTTTAAGGGTCTCTAGCACTTTGCTTGACATTTTTTGTTTTGTTTTTAAGCCTCATTCCAGGGTCCTATTGTTTTTTTTTGACACTCCTAAAAGGGACACTCCTGCTCCCTTCAGTTTCTCTCTATTTTCTGGGCTTTTTTCTTCAAACTGTAACCTCCATCTTTTATGCCTAAATTCATATGCTCAGATCTGAATGCAGGGTAAGCACAGAGGTCTGTGAGATAGGACTCCCCAGATCACTGCAGTCCCTCCAGTTTTTGGCTGCTGGGACTCTCTGGGCACAGGGTTCTCACAAGGAATTCTTACACCCTCATTTCCCATTTGGGCCCTGGGTCTCTTCGTCCTTACCAAAGCCAAGCAAGGTGGTTTTTTTTACACATAAAGAATATGCTTCCTGTTAAGAGAGGAAAGATGCTGTGTGTGATTATGTATTATTACTAATCTGCTATAGATGTAAAAAAAATAAACCATTTATTTTCTTGGCCTTTCTTTTTCTTTTACCCAATCCTGGCAAGGGAGAATCACAGAAAAGTTTGTTGGTATCCCTGGGGAGGAAGTTCTTGTGTCTTAAGCCCAGGCTCAGCTCATTCTACCACATCTGGGTCTCTGAGCTCTGGGCAGGCAAGGGGTGTAGCCCTGGCCATTTGTCACTGTTGAGCACTGAATCAGGGTTAGCCTAAAATCAGGTGTGCTGTGTGAGGACACACTGACTTCAAAGACAGTATTAAAAATATAAAATATCTCAAATTTTATTGGTCATATATTAAAACAGTATTTTTATATATCAAATATAAATTAAGTGAACATGAAATATAGTCTCAAAATTAATTTTTTCTTCTTGCTTTTATAATTTTCGGATGTGACACACATTATATTTCTGTGGGTCAGTAAGACTCCAAAGCAGTTCATCTCACTGGGCCCAGGAATTAGCAAAGGAGAGGCGTGTTGGCAGCAACTACTGGGATTACCAACCCAATAATAATATCTAAGGCTACTGGCTACGGGTGTTTATTACATGTCAAATGCTGTGCTAGGTACTCTGTTCTTCTTGTCGTAGATTCTTCCACTAGTATTGCAGGTGCCATTCTCATTTTCCAAGGAAATCAGAGAGATTCAATAACTTTTCCAGAGCTGCCAACTGGGACTCAAATCCCAGCCTTTCAAAGTCCATTCTTTGAAAGGGCCCTTAGAGAGTCCTGTTGAGAAATAAAGCCCCACCTGTTGCAGGGGTTGTCAGTCTGCAAGAAGCGCTGATACATGGATTCCTAACATTGTGGGGACTCTTCCTGAAGGCCACGTCCCCCTCCCTTTGCCAAAGGGCAGGGTCTGCAGCCTGCATCCCCACTTCCCTCTCACAGTTTGTGTCTAAGAGATCCCTTGGATGGGGCTGGAGTTTTTTTTTTTATTATTATTCATTTATTCACATGTGCATACATTGTTTGGATCATTTCTCCACCCTGCCCCCTTCCCCCCACCTTTCCTCCTTCCCCCTCTCAGTTCCAGGCAGGTCCCGTTCTGCCCTTATCACTGATTTTGTTGAAGAAAAGACACAAGCATAACAAGGAAGACAAAGCGTTTTTGCTTGTTGAGTTGAGGATAGCTACACAGAGAGATTCCTAACATTGCTTTTGTGTACATGTATTATGACCCATGTTGATTCATCTCTAACTGATCCAGAGGAACTAATACAGAAACCTTAAAGTGACAGAGGTTAACATGAGAAGGGGATCAGGAATCAGTGTAAAGATCAGTTAGAGATGAATCAACATGGGGCTGGAGTTTGTGTCTAAGATGTCCCTTGGATGGGGGTGGAGTAGCCAGGAGTGCTCAGAAATGGAACTACTCTCACCTAAGCCCTCACTTTGTTTCCAGAACAACCAGCCACTGTGTGCTGAGTTCTCAAGTTTCTCAGGAGGTGGCCTGTAAGGAGTTTGAAGGTTGAAGGGGAAGTGGTAGCCTCAAAGACAGTGCCAGCAGAGATCGCCTTTCTCTTCTCTGGGTCTATAAGGCTGAAGAAGCAAGCAGGACATAAGACAGTGAAGGGTCAGCAACGCTGGGACCATGACGTCTCTGTTGGTCTTGGTGAGAGGTACAAGTGGTTGGGACTCTTGGGGTCACTTTATGGTGTTTTGATTGTTGTCCTGGGGAAAGCACCCAAAGGGGTGAGGCTCTTGGCTTTTCTCCAGCCCTTCCCAGAGCCCCTGGCTTGGCTCTGTTCCTGAGCTCAGCCAGGAAGGAGACTGGTGGCTGGTCTCCAAAGATGCCCCCACCTAGTGGCCCTGTGTCACTCCTGCTCCTTTCTCTTGAATCTGGGCAGCTCTGTGACTTGCTGTAGCTGCTAGGATGTGTGTGTGGGGCAGTTAGTTCTATGTGACTGCCAAGGCCAGGTCAGAAGTCTTCCAGCATCTGCCTTGGTCTTTGGAACTGCCTCCAGGAGCCAGGAGCTACACATTGCAGAGAACAGATGTTAGGGATCCAGTGAATGGACTCTGAGTCAGCCTTGGAGCCACCTCACCAGTCAGCTGAATACCATCAAGTGTGATCCTAGTCACTGCCATATGGGGAAGCTGAGCAGTGACTGAAGAATCATTACAATGTTCTTAAGACACTAAGTTTTTGGGACAGACTGTTGCACAGCAATAGAAAAACAGAAATGAGCTCACTGTCTTGGTGTGTACCTGTAGCTACTCAGGAAGCGGAGGCAGAGCCCAGGACTTTGAGACTAACCTGTGCAACATAGTGAAACCCTGTCTAAAAATAAGAAGAGGAAGTGGGGGGGGGTATAGGAAGGAGGGAGAGAGAGAAAGAGAGGGAAAGGAGAAAATAGAGGCCCCCTGCCCTGTCTTTCCTGGAACAGGACAATTGGGTGTCCTCTGAGACCCTCAATTCTGCTCCTGTCTGGTGGGACCAGTCTGGGCCCTCTGAGCCCATCCCCTGAACACACTTTTACTCCAGGAGGGCCAGGCTCTGCTCCAGTGACCTGCCACCCAGACACTTCATCCAGAGGAAAACTTCATAGACCATCGGGGCTGGCCCAGAGTACAGCCATCTTGCAGAACAGAATCCAGTCCTGCCTTTGGGTCACAGAAGATCACTTGCCTATTCATTCAGCCACAAGATATTGAGAACCTACTACATGCCAGGCTCTGTTTTAGGATCTGGAGCTATAACTGTGAACAAGTCCTCCTGGAGCTTACTTTCTAGTGGTAGAGATACACTATGAAATGGAAATAATAAAATTTCAGAGCTAGTGAAGTGCTGTTAAGACAATAAAGGAAAGGCAGGGTATGGTGGTACACACCTATAATCTCAGCTACTCAGGAGACAGGAGGATGGGGGCAGGTAAGACCAGCCCCAGGCAAAAACACAAGACCCTATCTGAAAAACAAACAAAAACCAAAAGGACTGGGAGCTTGGCCCAAGTGGTAGAATGCTTGCTTTGCAAGTGCAAGGCCCTGAATTCAATCCCTAGTTCAACCAAATCATCGTCATCATCATAGATAAACGAAATCAGCAAAGGTAAACAAAGATATGCTCTTCTGAGAGTCTGATGAAAGTTGGGGAATTTCTCTTCCAAAATGCACATGCACACACACAATGGAGCTTGGAGGAAAGATTTACCATCCCTGAAGTCCCTCTGGTTGGAGCTTTGTAGGCTATGGGTTCCAGGTTCGGAAGGACTGAGAAGTGCTTTGGAGGGCCCAAGGTGCAGCCAAGGTGGGATGCCACAGGTACAATTGCCAGCCCCTTCCCCACTAGCCTCGGGGAGGTCAGGTCAATCAGGTAACAAGTTGACCAGGTGCAGACCACTGGCTGCAAAGTAGGTCTGGACTCTTGGGTTGCTCTCATTCTGGTGGAGAGTTGAACAGACCTGACCTAGTGGTTAATCATGGTGTCTGGGGAAACACATGGTCTCAGTCCCTTCCTGCAGGGTGGCTCATCGTGGTGGCTTACCACAGGCAGGACCAGAGCAGTTCACAGCACTTCAGCCAGGTAGCAGGCACCTTGCTACCTCCTTACCCAAGGAGCCTGTGAGGGGGATTTGTTCTGGCCTCATTTTGTAGAGGAGACAGACACAGAGTAACTCTGAAGCCCTGGCTTGCAAGAAAGGGGTAAGAGGATTTGGAGGGGGCCACCTGACCATGCAGGCCCTGCCTCTTAACTCCCATGGTATTCTGCTCTCCGCATGTGGAGTCAGAGGTGGGGAGGTCACATCATGTTCAGTCAGGGTGAGGTGTGATTTCAGTGTAGGGCTGGGGACATGGCATTTGTCA